CGCCAAGAAGTCGCCAAGAAGTCGCCAAGAAAAGAAATGCAATCCAATAAACCAATAAAAGCATCCACTGGAAAAATCAAAAAGCAGTTTAATTTTCAGAGGTTTTCCTCCGCACATCAGATCGGATCAGAGCAGAGCAGAGCGGGGAGGGTTTCTCGTGAATATGGGATTATGTATTAAAGGTATTATAGGTAGATAATTTCACACTCTCTATGAGTTGTTTTAGAGCTTTTCTGTGCTGCTTTCTGAGGCATATGAGTGAAATACCGTCAAGGGATTACCTTTAGGCGTATCTATCAGAAGTTGCTGGGACTTCGAAGTCAGAAGTGTGGCGTTCTGCTGCTTTCAATTTGAAGGATAATACAAAACATTCTCCCAAAACATAAACTGACAAAAATCAATAGATTTTGCATGTGTTTTACTTGCTTGGAAAAGTATTTCATCTAGTTAGCATTTACTTTTCTGTTCGTATCGTTTGATTTGAGGCTGGGCAATATTTCATTCTTTCATTTTGGCCTGTACGGTAGTTTATATTTTTTTTTTGTTATTTGACTTAGTGTAAAACAAAATTTCGGTAGTTTTTATTTATTTTTTTTTATACCCGTACTCAAAAAAGAGTTAAGGGGTATATTAGATTTGTGGTAAAAGTGGATGTGTGCAACGCAGAGAAGGAAACGTTTCCGACCCCATAAAGTATATATATTCTTGATCAGCACCAATAGCCGAGTCGATATAGCCATGTCCGTCTGTCCGTCCGTCCGTCCGTCTGTCCGTCTGTCCGTCTGTCCGTCTGTCCGTCTTGATGAGCGCCTAGATCTGAGAGACTATAAGAGCTAGAGAAACCAAATTTGGTTTCCAGACTCATGTGATATCACACTGCTACAAGTGTATTTCAAAATTTCGCCCCGCCCCCTTCCGCCCCCACAAAGGACGAAAATCTGTGGCAGGCACATTTTTAAAGATACGATAAAACTAAAAACGCAGTATCGTAGAGAATGCCCATATCTACCAGATTGCCGAATCTGAACTAGATCGGATTATAATTATAGCCAGAATGAAGAAATTAATTTTCTGTTGGTTCTCTCTCCTTCTCCAGCGCTGCTGACGCTACTGATTCTCTTTCTCGCTCGCACACTCTGCCGCGTTCAGTGCGCGAGCAACCCCTAGCGGAGGAGCTGTAGAATATAAATGGTACATGTACAATCTACATGTTAGATGTGGAATATACATTGTAGATGTAGATGTAGATAACAGATGTAGCAAAAATATGTAAAATGTAAAATTTTTTTTTTTATTTTTAAATTCTAAAAAATCATAAGCTCAAAAATGTATATACTGACTGAGTACGGGTATAAGTAGAGTCGCGTCCCCAGAAGCGACTCACACGTTCCTTCTCGTTTTATTTGACTTAGCGTAAAAAAAATTTCGGTCTGTTAAAAAAATTTAAGTCTGACTATTATCTCAAATGGCCACTCGCAGTAGGCCTGGCAATTCCCATCCTCCGACCATGGCAGCAGCCCAATCTGCTGCGGCTGCGCCCTCTCCGGCACTGGCTTCACATCCACCCGCTGGCCAGCCAAAGAGGAATTTTCTGCCTCGCGTCGCAGGACTCAGCCGAGGTCAGGCCCCCCCCCAAAGGTGAACAAATTGAAGACGCCACTGGCTCGGCCAGTGCCCAACAAGAAGGCGTCGCCTCATCCTCACGAAGGGCCGAGTCTGGTGGTGCTGGGCAGCGCAAATCCCAGCACCATTGGCAGTGGGGAGACCGGCGAACTGGTCGCTCAGATCGGTCTGGCACATGCCCAGCGCAGGGGGGAGGTGCACCTTTCCAGCTTCGTGTACCTGTCGGCGACGAACAGTCGTGCCACCCATATCACCGAGCTGACCTACGATGTTCTCATCAATCAGAATGAAAATCAGATGTCCGCTGTCGCGAGCTGGAGCGCACTATCCTGGGACCAAGGGGACGTGGAGGCGTTAAACGATAGCTACCAGCTGCTGAACGAGACGGTCGTTGGCATTGAGACGGTCAGGCCAAGCCGAAAAGAGGCCACGACAAAGCAGCTGGGGCCCTCGGAGTCCTCCGCTGCTAAAAAGGAGCACAGGAAGAGATTTCTGAAAAGGAAGATGGAGAATTTGAGATTGATGAACGAACGGATGCAGGCCAAAATACGGGCCATTATCAATCCGGGGGACCGCACTGAAGGAGGGGGCCCGCCAACGGCACCAACGTCATGCGACAGCCTCACATCCATCAGTCCCTCCATGCAGCCTTGCTACTGTGTCAACTGCAGGCGCAAGCGCAAGCAGAACCGGCAGACCGTCAGCCAGGTCGGATTCCGGAACGTTGAGCACGTTTCGAGAGTAACGCCTCGTCCCAGGTTGCAGAGTTTCGGCCGCTTCTCGAACGCCAACGGGCTGCCAACGATGCCCTGCTTGAGCTCCGATGCTACCGCAACGCCGTCGATGGGGTCCTGCTTGAGCCTCAATGACACTGCAACGCCGTCGATGAAGTCCTGCCTGAGTCCCCCTATCCTCTCGGCCCAGTCGACGCACTCGATGGTGACATGCCTGACCTCCGATGGCCACCCGGTGGAACCTGAAATGCCCGAAAACGGAATTCCCGACACTGGATGGACTTCGCCGATGGTGGTGACTGGCTGTTCCCCTTTCATAGGTGCCATGCGGCACACAGACAGAGGAACAGCCAACGACAAGTACCCGTGGGCCTCGGTTCAAGACCAAGAAGCGGACGACACCTTTGGCCGGGGGACGGGCAAAGTCATCCAGAAAGCTCAGCGTGGCAACGCAAGTGTTCAGACAACTCATGAGTGGGGTGTTGGGGATGTTCAGCAAATCCTGGTGGGATGACATTGCAGGTATTCCTGTTTTGTTTGACGGCTGTGCCGCATTTCCCCCTGAATTTGAGAATTAAACAAAATTTTACATTTACATTATACATATATTATGTATATTCTACATCTAACATGTGGATTATACATGTACCATTTAGATTCTACATCTCCTCCGCTAGGGGTTGCTCGCGCACTGAACGCGGCAGAGAAGGATGGAGGCAAATGACTTGTGTTGTCGTTTGCGGGAGGGGGGACAGGGGAAGCAACTGAAAATTAATTTCTTCATTCTGGCTATAATTATAATCCGATCTGATTCAGATTCGGCAGTCTGGTAGATATGGTCATTCTCTACGATACCGCGGTTTTTTTTTTTTTTATTTTTTTTAAGGCTGTGCCCCAGATTTTCGTTCTTTGTGGGGGCGGAAGGGGGCGAAATTTTGAAATACACTTGTAGCAGTGTGATATCACATGAGTCTGGAAACAAAATTTGGTTTCTCTAGCTTTTATAGTCTCTGAGATCCAGGCGCTCAAGACAGAGACGGACGGACGGACAGACGGACAGACAGACATGGCTATATCGACTCGGCTATTGATGCTGATCAAGAATATATATACTTTATGGGGTCGGAAACGTTTCCTTCTCTGTGTTGCACACATCCACTTTTACCACATTTTTGAGTACGGGTATAAAAATACAAGAGAAAAGTTCTGCAATTTCGCATGTGTAGGCGTCTGTCTGCATACTCGACTGGACTGTGTTAGTCTGCGAGTGACGTCACTTTTTAATATTTTGTGCGTTTTGTTTTTGTTCTTTGTTTTTTTTTGTAGGCCAGAAAATAGAATGAAGATGCAGAGAGTCGAATTTCTGTCCTCCGACGGCGTAATCATTATCATTGATAGGAGTGTTGCCAACCGATTTGAGCGGCTCAAAGATTTCCTGGTGGCGAATGCTTTTCTGTACTTTCCGAATACAAGATCTTTAATTTTGCGCAAAGTGCTGACCTGGTCGTTCTACCACAAGAACGATCCCGGGCCCAAACCCGATGGCGAAAGCACTTTGTGGTACACAGAATTCTTCGATGTGGATCAGGGCGTTCTACTGGAACTGATGGAGACAGCCGAGCTGCTGGACCTAAAGAGTCTATCCAACAAAGCGCGGGAGCTAAGAATGATTGAATAACTCTGAATAGTTTTGGACGATTTAAATTTGTTTATACATACATATGTATACAGATGCACATTGGGGAGCTAATTCCAGAAGGTGAAAATAAAATAAAAAATAATGTTTACTTATTCCAATTGATTGTTGATTAGAAGCCAGAAACCAAATGGTTCTTAAGATAAGTTTATTTTGTATTATTACATATGTATGTACATATATTATGTTTATTATACTTATGTATATTATACCTAAGCAATAATAAAAATGAAAATGAAAATTTGATGAACTTTGATGGACTGCACAAATTTCAGCGCTGCATTAAAATCAAAATTAATTGTTAAATTTTTCCTGCCATATTTTATTCGAAAATATCATCATGCAAAAGCAACCCACTAGACCAGCCACTAGAGACATCATTTGTTGATCAACTCAGAGCCATATGACATCAGACATTAGACTTAGACAATTTTGCTGCGTAGAGAGAATAGCACTAGAGACAACATGCAACATTATTGTTCGTAGCCGTCCCTGGACACGTCTAATGGCTTTAAGTAGAACAACTGAGGCACTATTTGACACAAAATTCTATCCACAATGTAAAATTTTCGATAAGTTCTGATGCAGCGCTGCTACCAGCTCAACTGGACAGCCAGCTTGACGCATATAGTTCTCTCGCTCTGACTGCAGGCATTTCCCATGAGGTCATCTTTATTTTTCCAGCTAGTCAGTTAGCAAAGTCTAATGTCATATGGCTATAAACAAGCTTGCTCTTCGAAAACTTCTCCATTCCTTCTGCTCAACATCTAGCATGCTAAAACATCCATCTAGCAATACGAAATGTATTATTTACAAAATATAATGTGCAAGTTTAACCCAGCGATTTAATTGATAGTGGAAACAATCGGCGCTCGGTTCTATTTGCAACCATCGATATTATCGATAGTGCTATCGACTTTTGTTCACAATCAACCCTATCATAAATGTATACGCACATTTTGCATTATACTTTGAATTGAATTATATTTCCGCACACACGAATCATATAAAAATGAACAATCAATGCCGATCCTGTGGTTCGGCCATCTACAACACCAAAGGCAGGAACTTGTTCCAGCGGCAGAACGCTGAACTGTTGTCGAACATCGATTTGGTGACTGGTGTCTCGGTATGTTCGATCTAATAACTAATAAGGAGCCACAAATGATTTCCAGCTAATGTCCCAATGCAATCCATTGCAAAACGTAGCTCAAACAGGATCGGCAGCTACCCAGCTGCATTTGTACTTCTTGTGCGGAATATGTAAATCGCTCAGTCGCATTCCGAGCACGTTTCATCCAGAATCAGGAGAACTTTCTGCAACGTCGCAGGGAAGCTCGAGATCCACAGAATGATTCCGACGACAAAACATCTGATGCTGATCAGACAGCGCAGGATGATGACTTCCTGCTTGCTGCTCTGGACGAGCAGCTAAAAGGCAGAACTGATTTCGACGAACCTGACGCTCATGAGACGGCGCAGGTGGCCGATTTGCTGATTACAAGTCTGCAAAAGGATCTAGGATACGGCAACAAGAGCAGTGACACCGAAAACATCGACGAGTCTACGAAACGCTTGAGTAAGAAGTCCACCACCAAGACCAAATCCAATCGATCCACTCCTCTGACTTCTATCAATGTTGATCAATTGGCCAAAACGGTCAACGAGTCTCCGAAACGCTTGAGCAAGAAGTCCACCACCAAGTCCAAATCCAATCGATCCACTCCTCTGACTTCCATCAATGTTGATCAATTGGCAAACAGCAATCCGTTGCCATTCGCAAAGAAGAAGCCATTTGAATGCGATCAACCATTCCCTCTAGGTTTTGCGGCAAAGACTTTAAGAATCCCTCAAAGTTGACTCGCCACTTGCCAGCGCATACGGGCGAGAGAGTGTCAGTACTGCGACCGATCGTGCACGACTCGGGGAAACAACATCCGGCATGAGAGGTGAGAGGCCAAAGGCTTGAGACTTATATGTTTAATGTCTTGTATCTTGCAGAACTCATACAAGGGAAGGGGCCTTTCCCTGCGCCACTTGCGGCATGTCCTTCTCCCATGCTTTCGTGCTGAAGAAACATATTAATAAGAACCATACTGAAACGAGTGCGTAACTTTGAGTACAAATAATCCATTCATCCATTTAGGCTTCAAATACTTCTGACTTAAGTGTATTGCGCCTTTATTGATGAATCTTTTGTGGGGGTAACGACTTATCTCCTGGCGACATATCTCCTCGCGGAGTTTAGCGACATATCTCGTGCTGAAAAATGTATGGGAGGAGATATGTCGCCAGGAGATAAGTCGCTATGCCTCTTTTGTGTATAAATAAAAGTAACTCCAAGAACTAAGTTGTTCGATGTGTGGGCCCTCGCTTCAGGCCCTGCAGCCAGAGCTTGAAGGTCGTTTACTTGAGCCATCTACGTGGACCCGTTTATTGTCCAGTGTGTTGTCCCTGTGCTGCCACAGGTTGCAGATGAATTGAATGTGATTTGGGTGCTTTGAAAGCTTGCCTGGAAGGGAACACACGATTAAATAATGGATATGTTTCCGTGTAATAATTCTTTGGATAAAGTGAATTGGAAATTAATGCCAATAAAGAAATGGCACTGCAAATGCCATAGTAATTCTATGATTCCACAGAAAAGAAACCAAACTGTCGCCAGTCTCTGGCTGAACGCGATTAGATATATCCTCGACTCAAGAGCTGTGGAACATTCTCTTTGTTGCTGCAAGGAAACTTTAAGGCATGGCCTTGATGCATACAAAAAATGGTATTCAATGTTGAATATCTTTGTCAACATTCCTTTTGTCGCACTGGTCGCATGGTTGTAATTAAAGTGAGACAATCAGCAAGTGAGGAAACTAATACATTTGCGAACTTGACAATGTCCTTTGCTCGCCAGCAATTGCGGATAATTAATCACTCTCAATTGTGCTGGAATTGTGTTGTTTGCTGCTCAAATTGATTGGGTGGATAGTGGGTGGGTAGCTTTTAATTTATCTGAGAACGGAACATTGAGACAGGAAAACATTGAATACATTCCAGAAGCATACACAACCTGAAATAGCAACCAGGACAGGACTGAGTGCGGTGCGCGTTTTTATTCCTAATGCGATGCAGCAGCTGAGCAGCCAGCATTGCCTAATTCATGAATTAATTGAGATTGATCCCATGCAGCAGGCGCTTGGCATAGTTTCCACAGCCACAGCCCAGTCCTCAGCTGTCACTCGGCTCCTGGCAGGATACAGGACAGACCTGACATTCCAATCCATTCGCATTCCCATTGCCCTGCCATTCCTTCGATGCATCCGAATGTGTGTGGTGTGCCTTGTACTTAAGTCCTCACTATGCAACACATTACAATGTTCCCATTGGCGTAATTTATCCGTATCCGTAGTCCGTTTCCCAGCTATGAAACCTACAGATAATTGGAAGAAAATCCTGCTGCCTAGTGTATTTTCTGCATGGCCTGGGTAGAACTTTTGGATTCAGTGACAATGGAGGAAACTCCCCCTCCACCACCAAACAACCCCATCCATCTGTCCCTACCTGCCTTTCAGCCGCGTGGAACATGTCTCGCATTTCACTTTCACAACTTCCCAACTGGAAAAGCACGAAGAAGGTGGGATAAAAAATTCATGAAATACCCAAACGAAAACCTGTAATTCTGGGCTGAATGGGCGAACAATTTGGATTCAAATGATTTAAGAGCTCTCCTGGAAGTAACATCATTAAAAAATCTTTCCTGTTGAGTTTCATTTGCCATGGTAAATACAGCACCACCCCATGCCGGGGTTGTATTGTCATTCAGTTTCCCCTTTAAGCCGCAGGCTGTCAATTGAAGTTTTCACGGGATATCGATACCAGGTAACCAGGCTCTGCAATCAAGTGCATGGGGCGTCAGGGGTCAGGAGTCAGCTGCCCTTTTCCGGTTTGTAGTGTGTCCTAGGTAAAGTTTTGATGGCACCTCAGCACTATGGTCCCAATGACCACTTTTGTTGGCCAAAACCCATTTTTCAAAAGTTAAACAATAACCGTCTGTATTAGAAAAAGAGTGAGCTTATAAGTTGCGTACCAGAACTTTCCATAGATGGCGCCACATTCGCAAAATCAGCTGTGCAGCCCAGCTGTTTTTGCTGACAAGCACGCGCAGTGAAAAAGTGGCAATTTAATTACAGTTTTAAATCTCTCATAAATTGAAAAATACGATTAGCTTATCAAATTTTTTGATTGAATCTTAATTTGTTGGGTTTTTACTACGTGTTTTGTATTGTTAACTGTATCTCGTAGTTGTGATGTCTTAGTACTTTTAGGTTAAAATGAGTCCTTTCTTTTAGCCAATTTTGATTGAAAACTGATTTTTGAAAAGATATATTTAGTGAGTCCCACCTAGTCCCACCTTGAAATCTATTGTGTGATGTAAATTAATAAATTCTTGTTGAAATGTATATAGTAAGAAATACCACATTTGACCACAAATCTTAAAATTTTCATTAGTAGAATATAACCTCAAAATCAACAATACAGAGTTGTTTGGCGTTCTATTTTGTGCTAAAACAATAAGTTGAATGCCCAGAGAAGGCTTAATTGACTTGCAAGGCTGTACAGAACCCAGGAAGAAAGCCGCAAAATTTCTGACCCAACGAGCACCCTGGAAAAAGCGTTTTCCACCCTGACACAAGGGGTTTTCTCTAGGGGGCAAGAATTACAAAAAATTTTTTTTCAAATCAAAATTTGTGTTGTTTTTATGCGTGCCACGACTTTATAATTTTAATAAAAATTAGTAAAACTAATTTCTTAATAAAACTGTTATAATTACTTCCTATTCCCTATCATTAATTATTTATTAATATGCATTATTAAAAAAGGCGGTGCCACACCCATTTTTTTTTTTAAATCTTCTTCCTATTGATTATACATATATATACAATACAAGAAACTAATTTGAAAAATCTTGTTTCGTTTTCGAGTTATTAATTTTGGCCAACAAAAGTGGTTGTTGGGACCATAGTGCGCAGCCGCCGCTGCATTGCTGCCATTGACTAGCAGCTCGGTCAGATTGGTTGAGCTGTTGGGATCTGGTTGAGGGTTCCCTGCTGCTGCTGCTAGGCAAAATAGCTAAAACATTTTTGCTAGTGAACTTTTTAATTAAAGCTGGCAAACGCTGCATCTTGCTTACTGCCTGCCTCATGCTGCAGCGAGGGCGTTGGGGCAGCAAGCAACAGCTTCTGCTGCCAGCCATTGGGCACAATAAAATGCTTGTGCAGCAGAAATAACCACAGCAGTACCGGCAGTACCCCCCATCTCATTCGTGCCAACCTTTGACCGGTTGGTATGCGGCTTTTGTCTGGATTATTATTTCATGACTCTTTCCCACTCGCCCGCTCTCTCTCTCTCTCTCTCTGGCTGTCCCTTTCGTTTGGTTGATGTTGAATGTTATTTTATTATTGTGATTTTTGCATATTATGTGCATAGGTAGAAATATGTGTATATACAAAAAAAGGCAAGTTTCGAGCCATCACCGAAAATGGATTGAATTTCTGTAAAAACAATTCCAATTTATACAAATAAAATCAATTTCATTTTATGTTTGCATCTCAATGCAATCCCATGCCTCGCCACTACACAGATGCATCCTGCAGTAAGCAATTTTTAATTGATGCAGGAAAATCGATTTTAATATATGAAAAATACTCATATGCCTGCACATACATAGTATGTGTATGTAAATGAGATCCATTAGCATAGGTACACATATTTTATATACCCTGAAGTAGTGAATGGAGCTAGCACCTCAAATCGAATTATGCGAAGGCTAGAAGCAGTTCCCGCAGGCCAAATGCGAATTGCAATGTGCACTGGCAGAAGCAGACGAATGACGGGAACTCCGTTTAGCGATGGTAACGCAGTGCACAAGCACATGTAGGGCTCTTCTCCATTAATTAAACAGCAAATCAGGGCCCTGCTTGCTTTCCACTGACAAATCACAGATGTGGCTACAAATCAAGATATATGTAGGTATGTTTGCCAAAATTTGTATTTACACTGTTCACTTGGCGGAGTGTTTCCTTTTGTGCCCATGTAAACAGAGACATAAACATACTTACATATATGTATATGTACATAAATGTGTACATTAATATTCAAATACTCACTACTCGTCTACCTGTATGCACCTTCCATCAAGTGATCCACTAAACTCGTTGAGTGGGCGGACGCTCACTGTGATATCCCTTGACACCTCCCTCCCTCATTGTGTGTGCGTCTCCGTCTGGCCGGGTCGGATTGTCAGCTCCTACCGTTGAATTATGAAGAGTCACAGGTCGCTGGTGCTCCGCCTGCCGCTTGCCTGCTAGCAAAATAATCAAACTGCACAAACAACTCGACCTCATAAATAGTTAAGACACAAAGAGTAGAACCAGAAGGCAGAATAAATGCTGTTTTTCCATGTCCCAGTGTCCGATGTTGGCCCGAGGGGTGGCAGGTGGCAGGGTAAGGCATCAGGTTGTCGGTACAATCGGTGAGTGCTTCTGTGCCAGTGTCCCGGATCGCTGCCTTCTGCCAGCGCCATGTTGTTTCTGCTCCGTGTGTCCATTTTTATTGCCCGGCAGCCACATGCGAGTGGAAGCTGGGGCACCAGGCTCCGGCTCCTCTTGTTTGCACAGTTCCCAACTAATTGGATTGGCAGTTTCAATTCAACAACGGACAGGGCCAATTTATTACACATGTTTGTCTCTGGCAGGGGCTGGCAACTTTCTCGACACTGCTGACCCTTCCACCACACCACCAACAATTCCACCATACCCAACCCAGCAACGAAACTCACCGCTCACCAATCGATAACTGATCTCACTCTCGCAGTCTTTCTGGCTTCTCTTCTGGTTGGAACTATTCGTTGGCATTTGCGCAGTATTTTAATTGTATTTTATTTTACATAAAGCTCGGCAATTGATTAATAGAACGCGCCATGATCGCCTGTTAAACATACGCGCACGGAGTTCCTACGCGAGAGCCTGTTCGGCGGTGCCTTGATGCAGGATTCTGCCATTTTTCACAACGCGCTGAGTGCTCTATGGTGTGAGTAGTAAGGATATTGGGCTTGGGTTTTGGGTAAATTTTTCAAGGTGGCGCCACGTCGGAGAAAGTGGTTTAGGATCTCGATATTCGAGTAAATTCTCACAAGGTGGCGCCACGTCGGAGAAAGTGGTTTAGGATCTCGATATTCGATTAAATTCTCACTACTTGG